GGGGGGACACGGGGACATGGGGATATGGGGGTGCCCGCCCCGCACACTGGACATGGGGGGACACAGGGGTGCCCAGCCCGCACGGGGGGACACAGGGGGACACGGGGGGTGCCCGGCCCAGGGCACACAGGGACATGGGGGTGCCCACCGCGCACACGGGGACACGGGGAAGGGGGATCCTCCGTGTGAGGGGGCACCCCCCTGCATGGTGACACGGGGTGGGGGGCACCCCCCATCCCTCACACAGTGACCCCCCCATGTGACACCAGGGCCCCCCCCATGCCCAGTGCCAACCCCCCCTTCCCCCCCCAGCGAGCGAGGCCGAGGCGGGCTGCCTTTTCCATTCACTTTTCCGCATACTTTTTATTTGTTACAAACATACAATTCTTTAAATATAGACTGTAAAACTCCATTTGCAAAAATCTGCTACGGGAGGGAGTGCTCGCTAGCGTGAGGAGTCGTCACGTCGGGCGTCGTCGTCGTCGCTGCTAGTGGTAAATCCAGGACCTGCCTTCCCGCCGCTCCCGCCGGAGGAAGGGGATGGGAATGGGCGCCGCTGCCGCGGGGCGCTGGCCGGGAGAGGGGGACGCCGGGGCCCCGCGGCCGCCTAAAGTGCATGGGTTGCTTTAGTTTTATTTTCTCTCGCTAAAAAAATAAGAGGACTCCAAACTTTCTGCTCGCGTCAAGGTGCTGCGGGCTGAGCGCCGGCGGGGAGGCGCCCGGGGCGGCCCCGGCGCTCCCGCCGAGGAATTYTTCTCCGGCACCGGCTCCCAGCGCTCGCCCGCGCTCCTTTCTCTCGTCTTTGCACGGGGGGTTGGGGAAGAGGGGGGAATTTTCTCCTTTCTTTAGCATTCCCGCTGCCGGGAAGCTCCGCGCGGCGCCCTCCGCCCGGCCGGCGCACTCAAGCCGGGCGGATTGACCCCATCCCACCTCTCGGTCTCCCGACCGCCTGGAAAAGGAGACGGGATCCCCTTTGGGAGCGGGGGAAAACGTGAGGGAATTTCGACTCCGGAGGAGCTGCTGGCCGCGCGGCGCCGGCGCCTCCGCTATTTACATCGGATCTCGGGGCCTGTACAGGATTTACAGGGCCTGTCTGCGGAGCGGGCGCCGCGCTCCGGCCTCTCCTCGCGCGGGCAGCGGCAACCTGGAAGCTCCACGAATTTGGGATCTTGCCCCCTTCCGGAAAAAGAGTTTTGCCCATTTTTTTTTTTTTTTTTTTTCTACAGAAATCCAAACCGAAGGAAAAAAAAAAATAAAGAAAGAAAACAATTATATATATACACACACAGAGAGATATATGTGTATATACATATATATATATATATATATAAAGAACAACAAAACCATCGAACCTGCCGCTCGCGGCCGCCTCCTCCACCCAAAGCGGCGCCGAGGCCGGGCCCGTCGCCGCCTGCCCCCGGGGAGACGCTTTTCTGGGAATGCGGCTGCGCGAGCAGCCCGGTCCGTCCGGAGGAGCCGGCTCGGGATGCGGGCGGGAAGGGCGCGTGGGCCGGGAAGGGCCTCGGCGGAGCCCAGAGCGGCTCCTTGGGAAGCAGAGGCCGCGGCGGGAAAAGCGCCCGGCTCTCCGCGGACATCCCGCCGGGAACCATCCCGGAGCCGCCGCGCCATCAACCCGAGAGCAAATCCAGGAAAAAGAGGGAAGCAGGGAACGTCTCCCCCGGGGAAGCTCGGCCTCGCGCGGCCCGGCCACCCACCTGGCGCGGCGGCAGGCTACAAAAAGCCGCTTTTTGTTGTCTTTTTTGGGGCGTGTTTTGCGCTTTCGAGCGGCAGGATTCCGTCCCCGACGCGCTCCGCTCTTATCACCTGCTCTGCTGGAAGGTCCAATGGAGCTGCGGAAGGTTTCTCTGTACATAGATACAGCGCTCGGCCGGCGCGACGCCTGCAGCAGCGAGGGCTCCGCTCGCCCAAGCGAGCGCCGCCTGCGCCGGCCGGCTCTTTTTTTTCCCCCTTTTCCCCTTTTTTCTCTCTTTTTTGGCCCCGCTGGCACTTCTGCCTCTTCCACGTTACTCCCCGGGCAGCTCGAGGGCGGCTCAGGCCCCCGGCGCTGCCGCCGAGTAGAAAGGCGAGGCGAATCGGCCAAAAAACCGAGAGAAAAGGGAAAGAGGAGGAAAACCCAAGAATATATATATCTGTATATATATAGAGTCCTCTTCAAAAGGAGAGGTACCGCCTGCGTCTTGGCAAAGAACCGAATCGGCTCAGAGCAGCGGAGCAACAGAAAGTCAATCGCCACTGAAGCAGGGACACGAGATGCTGGTCTGCGCGCGGAGCCTCGTGCGCCGGCGGCCTCCGCTCTTCCTCCTCCTCCTCCTCGTCGTCGTCGTCGTCGCCGGCGCGGCCGCCCGCTCTCCGCGGCCGAGAACTGAACGCGGGTGAACAAAATACAGAGGTCAACACAGCAGGACATTACTGGAAACAGCTGCCTTACAGTACAAAAATACAGTACACGTGGAGGGATGTCATTCGGTAACATCGAGGAATACTATTGCTCCCGTACGAGTTAGGAAACCGAGTTCTCGGCGAYGGAGAAGAAGTAAAAACAGGGAAAAAATGAAAGCCAAGTTCTGTAAAAATCCCTTAAAAAGAGCCCCGGGGGCCGGGATTCGCGCTCGGGAGGCGGCGGGATGGAGCGCTGCGCCCCGAGTCGCTCGGCCGGTTCCGATAAGTGCGGCCCCAACGGAGAGCGTGGAGACGGGGGGACCCCAACGAGGGCGAAAATTAAAAAAAATAACAGGAGGGGACGCGGTAATAAATTAACAAGGCAGCTCGAATCGGAGGGCAGGCATGCACAGTTTGCAAAAAGAAAATGGAAGGGAAAAAAAGAGGAAAAAAAAAAACAAGTTAAAAACCAAAACCAGTCCTAGAGACTCTAGAAGGTGTCACACGAGTAATACCTGAAACTTTGGAATGAACAGCGGGCTCCCCATTCAGTTCAAAGTTACTAGTATACGAGAAGGTGGCTAAAAAAATACCTTTGTGGAGGGGTAGGCCTGACCCGATGGGCTAAAAAGAAAGACCATTTGAGAGTGAAAATCCATTTAATTAGAGAAGAGGTGATCGCTGAGAAGCCCCCGATGTTCCTCCGGGACGAGGCGGCAGCTGCCGGTCCTGGCGGAGCCTGGAGGTGCCTTTTAAAAAACAAGGGATTTGTCCCTTGCCGTGTCCCGCTGCCGGCGGGGGGGTCGCGGCATCCACGGGATCCGTGGGATCCGTGGGATCCGGCAGCGGCGCYGAGGGGAGACGCTTCTTGCTCGAGGGGGAGCTGCCGGGCCGGGCGCGGGGCCGCCGCTTTCCTTTTTCCTTCGTTTTTTTGCTCTTTTCCAAGCGGGTTTCTGGGAAAATCACCTCCTTTAGCACCGGGGGCCGCATTAGGGAAGCCCTGGCTCCGGCTGCCTTCCGCCCGGGAAAGCCGGCGCTCCTTGGAGACCACTTGATTGGGAGGGAAGGGGGAGCTCCTCAGGGAGCAGCAGCCGATGCACCGAGCTCGCCTTGTGCTTTAAGCCTGCCTGGCCTTGGCCCGACCTCTCTTTGCAGCCCCCATGTWAAAAAAAAGGGGGGGRAAAGAAAATCCAAATGAAAATCGGGAGAGGTGTTCGTTCATCTTCACAAACCTGCCAGCTCTTAACCAGTCCGCTTACGGGTTCCAGTTCAGGCGCCTGGAGTTTAGCAGTTTGCATCCCAGAAAAAAAAAAAAAAAAAAAAAGGAAAAAAAAGGGGGAAAAAAAGGAAAAAAGAAGGAAAAAAACACCCTAGACGATGGACATTGGTCCAGATGCGGCCCCCCTGGCCCCTGGAAACACCGAAAAGCTCCCGGGCTCCGTCTCTCTTCCTCCCCCTTCCTCCTCCTCCTCGTCGTCACTCTGGGCTTGGCTGCCCGGCTGAATCCGGCCCGGMCGATTCCGACGTGCGGCGGCGCCGCTCCCTCCTCCGGGAGCTCGGGCACCGGGATGCGGGATCCCACGGCGGGGGGCAGAGGGGGGGCACAGACGGAGCTGGGAGGGGGGGGTTGGATCCAGGGCCAGGAGAGGGGAGTCGATCCGACCGCCCCGCTCCCCAAAACGAACCAAAGTCCTGGGGCTGAAGCGGGGGGGGAGCCCCCACGCTCGGGCCGGCGTCT